AYGTTTGAACAATAATTTCAARTATTGATAATCAACACAAAGTTTTAAAAATGWTTTTTCACATTCAATRCTAACTTTTGGCATTTATAAAAGTTTGTCTATAATAGTGTATTGTAATACACTTTACGATACGTCTCACTTTGATTTGATTTATTTATTTAACAGGAAAAGATTACTAAAAATCAAGCCTGACTCAGCATAATTGCTGTTTTACAGCAGGTTCCTGTTCTGCAGCACATAAAACACTCAGAATTACAGCATCACAATCACATCATTACACACCATAGACACAAAGACAAACAAGCATACCAAATTTCAAAAAGGCAGCATTTGCAAAATAGGACGTCTAAATATGAGCACAACAAAAAGTGTCCAGCAGATGGCAGACAAGATTCTTCTTAAAGGGCTGCAGTTTTGAAATGGACTTTATGTTTTGAGGAATGTCATTCCATGCTTTAGTATAAACATAGAAGAAAGACATCTGGCCGTAACAGTTTTTTGACAGTTGTGGATATTAATAATACAGTACAATATGTTAAAATGTTTCTTGTTATTGTACTTACAATGTAATAACCTAGTGTGAAATGTTTAATAAGCACCTTTAGATCTTATATGTACGTGAACAGCTTTTGTCTCATTATTTGATAAGAAACTTGACACTTTTCTCTTTCTCGTCTTTAATTATTGCATGATAATCATTTGATTTATAAAATGTTACAGATGAATTAATAACCTATTTATAAACTATTTAAGGGAGCCTTATTGTAAAGTGGTATCAAAAAAAGCTTGCACAGTAAATTCTCCTCACCAGTTTTTCATACATTTTACTGAACAAAGATAAAATATTCTCAAACACACATGTGAGAAAATCCAGCCATCATTTGTCAGTTCAAAGTTGTTGTTTTTTTCAGGATTGTTACAATTTTCTTAAAAGAATTCTGTCAGCTTGATTCATTCTGGACTTTACTATTTGACTCATTAGCGCCACTAGTGTTTGAACGTGGAACTGCATCCACCATCATCACTGAGGTGAAGGACAGAGGCACTTCAGGGGGCCAATCAGATTTTAGCTGGGGCCAATCAGATTTTAGCTGGGGCCAATGCCCCCGTGGCCCCGCCCCTGTCAGTAGATGCTTTAAAAGCTTGGCTCATGATTTAAAAAAAAAAAAAAAGACTATTTTTTTTAACAAGTCTTGTCAACCTGGAGACAGAAATAGTTTTTACAAAACCCGTTTTGTGCTTAGACTATAAAACAAGATGACAAATCTGTATAAAGAATTTACAAAAATAAACTTTTTTTTTTCAGATCTATTATTCTGATTTAGACTTATTTCGTAGTTCCCCCAATGAGAAACTACACCCAGAAGGTAAAATAAAATTTGAATCCGGATCATGTGGAAAACTTTATAAAAAGAGGCGACAAACAAAAATGAGTCAGTCAATTCATTAGTCTGCTTGTCCTCTAACCACTTCCTAAAACAAATCTTTTTAAAATACTTTCTTAGACGTATTAAAGCTTTTTACATAAACTGCAATAAGTTTTCAAAGAAATCTATTGCAGAATAGAACATCCAGGAAGAACGATTGTGAAAACACACAGAAACTTTAATACATTTTGCTGAAAATAAAGACAAGAACACAACTATTTATTGCAGAAAAAAAATAAAACATCTGGGAAAACTTGTAAGTGACTTYATCCTCAATATTCCCAGGAAAAATTTCAGGAACTGTCAAAACTGGACAAAGTCAAAACGAAGGGCTTAGTCTTCAATCCCACGAAAATTCATCAGAGTCCAAAAAGATGCTGCTGTCTGTGTCCACAGAGACCACGGAGCTGAGGCTGCTGTCTATGGACACCATGTTGCCCCAGCTGCTGCTGCTGCTGCTGCTGTGACTGTCACTGCTGCTCCCGCTGTCGTCATCGTGGATCACCATCACATCTGCAGCTTCAGCTGCTGGAAAACACAGGAAACACCAAATCAGAGTTTTCTCTGTACGCAGGCACCAACACTTCTGTTAGGATCACTGACTCAAAGRAGTTCAAGTTCAGTTTATTTATACAGCACCAAGTCACAACATACTCAGGACACTGTACAAAAAAAGAACAATGTAAAGAAGAAAGCAGCAGATTGTGTTGAATCACTTCATCACAGTCTCCCATCCTGAGCAAACGGTGGAGAGGAAAAACTCCCTGCTAATCAGGAAGAAACCTCCAGCAGAACCAGGCTCAAGGCATGTTTTTTGTTTGTTTGTTTGTTTGTTTTCAACAGAGGCCACGCCTCCAGCAAGAATCGCTTCTCTATAGCCGAGAGTCTAGACCCTCGTACGAAGCAAAGTGAAGGACAAGGGACTGGTTTTTACCAGGCTAGGACTGGACACCCCTGTTTTAGTTTCAACACTGGGGAGACTTGTTTTTGATATCAAGACCAGACAGRCTTGAAAAAATAAGTCTTAAAAAAATCTTAATGTTTTATTTCCTTTTATTTACTTGACTTTGAAGGTTTGTGCTTTAAATAAACACATGGTTGCATTTATAACTGTTGAACATGAATAAAAAACTGAAACGATCTGAAATTTAAGCTTTAAACATATTTTTTTAACTTTTGTTTAGACTCCACCTCCATTAGACTTTAAAAATCCCACCTCAGTTTCCCTGAAAGCTTACCTCAAGGTTTCCTGAAACAGGAAAGAAAAAGGCAGATAAATACAGCTTGYTGTGCTGCCACCTTGTGTTTGAAACTCTGCCACACACCACTACTGCATTCATCAAACCCATAAATCAAAGTWCTCCACTGACCTGATAGGAGGACGTGTCTCTCATCTGAAACAAATAAAACCAACATGAGATCTTTGTGTYGATTGTCTCCGGTCACCAGTAAAGACCAGTTTGTTTATCTGTGTTTATCTGCAGGGGAAATGCTACGACGTGCTGACTGCGACAGCCTCAGACGTGTGCGCATCTCGAACTGCTTACTGAGGAGGGTGGTGAGAACGCACCTCTCACCTTTCCTCTCAGTGATGAGTTCCTGCCGCCTGGTCTTCATGTCCAGGCTCAGGTTCTCCACCATGCGGTCGATGCAGTTGTCCAGAGCRAGACACCGGGTCTGGGACTGGATGGCCTGCCGGCAGATGGGACACTCGTCTTTCTTCTTGCGCCACTGGTTGATGCAGTAGCAGCAGAAGCTGTGGGAGCAGTTCAGGTTGACTGCCTGTAGGGAACGATGTCGTAAAAGTTACCAACATTTGTCGTGATAATTTCTGAGACAACTCATGGTGACAGGTTTTAATGGGTTAAAGACAGCAGAGAAGACGTCCCGTCTCTAAACCCGTTACTGAAACTACCTCGATGAAGAGCTCTGAGCAGATGATGCACTGAAGCTCGTTCTCCAGGACTTCTGTGACTTGTGTAACAACCTCGTCTTTTTGGGCCTTTGCCTTTTCTTTCTCCTCCTGTAAAAAAATAAAAATAAAATTAAAAACGAGGGAACGAAGCTTTAGAAGTAAACAAATGAGAGTAAAAACGTGTTTTCCTTTAAATAGTGGGTAACGTTTATAAAAACCAATATAGATCCAATAACTTCAAAAAAAGAGTAATTAGTTGATTCCACAAACCCAGTATTGTTGAAGTCTTCTGCTTTAATGTTCAGTGATAGTGTATTTAACAACACTGGAGATACTATATCGAGTAAAAATAGTCTTCCTGATGGTTTTCAAAGATTTTTCAAGTTACGGCAAAATAATTCTAATTTAAGGGGATTCTTTATTTTTGAAGTACATAAAGTAAAAACAAATATCAAATAGATGTGATTCAGTATTGGGTGTTAAATTGTGGAATAATTTAAGTGATGAAATTAAGTTTAGTGAGTCTCTGGCTACGTTCACACTGCAGGCAAATCCGACCCAAATCCGATTTTTTTGACCCATCTGACTCATATCCGATTTTTTATGACCGTCTGAACGCGACAAATC